GGAGTCGAGTTAGTGTAGAATTTATTGCTGTGTTAATGCTTCCTGTTTAGACTAAGATATATGTCATCCTCATAAATGTTATTCTATTCAAGTAGCCAGTTTCAATGCCTGCTTTCAGCATCTGTCCCTCAGTTCCATAAGCAATCTTACAGTGGTATTTGGTAACCTCGAATAGTACAAAATACTGCAAAGGCGGGAGGGAGGGAGTTTGCCCCCAGTTTGACCACCATGCCTGATGGGAACAGTTTCTCTTCTAATCAGTGATTAACATGCTCTCCTGATTTCAGAAATCCATCTCTGCTTCCTCATTTGCTGTTTCAGGGGGTCATTAAGATCCCACTGCCTCTTGGATGCTCTCTATTAGGCAGGAGACACAGGCAGAGAGAAATTCATTTGGCGTGAATTAGGCAGCAGAGAAAACCCTTGGCGAGTGGGAGTAACCTGTCAACCTGGTTTTCTCTGGCTGAATGACTGACCTTGTCTAGTAGTAATGCTATTACAACATTACAGCATTCCCATTCAGATCCCCATGACCCAGTCATTGTTTTGGGAATGAGTGCAAAGCTATCAGACACCAACTACTATAATTAGAAAAGGGAAAAACAGACACTTACCAGAGCTACGTCTTTAGGCTGGAGCATTTACAGCACTTTTTTTAAGGTTATGGAGCCTCTTTCTGTTAAGCTTCCTAAAATACAGATTATACAGTTTTGGGGTTCTTGCATTCCAGTTTTTGTTACTGCAATACACTCCCCCCCCCCTTTTTAATCGGAGTACAAATTGCTGTCAGCACATTGAGTTCATGTGCCAGCCACATTCAGAACAGGGTGTTCTGTGCTCTTCAAAACAAAATTGCTCTAGGGCAGTAAGAGAACAATAAGTCAGAGCGCCAGTTTAAGTGATGTTTTGCAGCAGACCCGGCTCACTTGATGTGGTTACACTCAGATTGCGCAGCTCAGCTTGAGTAATTTGGTTTGGTTTGACTTCATGGGGTTTGGAGGAGTTTCCCCCACTTTAAGTTACATAGACTTTAAGAGGAAAATGTCCCTTTTTAACTTGTATATTTCTTTCTTTACCCAAAAAGCCCTAAGTAGAAGCATCCTGTATGTACTTTTATTCTCTTTGAGCACGTCATAGATCATTTACTTCCCGTAAATCATGCTGGTTGGAATTAGCAACAGACCTCCTGAGCCCTAGAGGCCGAGCTCCCAGTGAGTCATGATGGTTATTATTAAATATTTATTAAGTGAGTATTTGCATTAAGAGATGCAAGGTCAGAAGCAACCACAGGTCTTCCACAGCCAGAGCTGCCACAGTTTTCTTTGGTAGCAATTGTTGAGACAATTTAAAAAATCATAACTGACTTTATAGGAGCTAAACATGCCTGCCTCTGTCACCATGATGGGGGACCCCTACTGTGGCAGTAGGCACTCGTTTCTGAGTGGTGTGTGATTCTTGTCAACAGCCCTGTGGAACTTGTCACACCAGTGTTCCAAGTTTAGAAGCCAGTTAGCTGGTGATAGCCTTTGCTACATGTAGATGTGAAGAATCAGTGGGCTATATACCCCCTGAGGCTGATACCTTCTCTTGCTCTGACATTCCAGATAGTATTAAAAGGTGGTGGTTTTATATAAACATAAAAACTGATGTGTGTTCGTGTATGCATGTGTGTGCATGTGCATGTGCACATATCAGTTTATCAGTTTAAGATCATAGGTATTGTAGGCAGTGTTTGTTCGGGCCCAACTTAGACGAGTTAGATGTACCAGGAAAAAAAGGTTATTAGTCCAAATATATAAGGTAGTAAGTATTTATAAGAGTTATTACAAATTTTTACCTTCCTATTAGGTGGCCACAAACATTGGTTCTATCATTTTTTTAAAAATAGTTGTTTACAGTTGAGTTTTTGTTTTGTTTTTTTAATTGAGGAACAGTGTGCTTCTCCAGGACCCATCAGCTCCAAGTCAAGTAGTTGTTTCAATCTAGTTGTGGAGGGCGCAGCTCAATGGTCCATGTGGGGATCAAACTGGCAACCTTGGTGTCATGAGCATTGTGCTCTAACCAAGTGAGCCAACCAGCCACCCCCCAGTTCTATCATTTATTGTCTCTTAAAGAGACCAGCTGCAATGAAGGTTTTTTTTTTCTTTCTTAATTATGCCTTTATTGTCATTTAACTTGAACTTTTCTCTTTTTTTGCATCTTTGCTTTACTTTCCCAACATGCTTAGTAGTAGCCAATATTTTCTTCCTAATATGATGGGTTATCACATGTAGAAAACTCCTGAAATTATTTATATAATTTTAATATCAAGGATATGCAGCAAGCCGAAAGCCAGGCTAGGAAACTGACACACAGGCAGGAATCCTTTGCAGAGCCTCTGCATTTCCTGTTTTGAAAACACATTCAAACTTGATCAACCAAAAACCACAATGAATGTACTGATAGTTTCCTCCCCCACTGAATGTACTCTCCTTTGGGGAGGAAGATACTTCTAACAATAAACTCCAGACAAGATGATTTGTCAACTAAGTTGTGAGCTACTAGGATAATAAATCTTAGTACTTGAGGAATTCCATGGTACCTGGGCTGAAATTCACTTTGCTCACTTAGCAAATCTTTTTTTTTTTTGAAAGATTTTATTGGGTGATTTGGGGAGGGGAACAGACAAGTTGCTGTCCTTTTGTTCTTCAGTCTAGTTGTGGAGGATGTCGCTTCACTGGCCCATGTAGGTATTATGATCATTGTGCTCTTACCGGCTGAGGTGGTTGGTCACCGGCCATTGGACGGCCGCTCATGGCGGCTCTCGCCAGCTGTCGGCCGCTCAACGCTGGCTGATGGCCACTCACGGTAGCTTATGGCAGCCCACTGCAGCCTACACCGTCGCCAGCGACTCACGGCAGCCCAGCTCCAGGTCGAGCTGTTGTTCATCATCTTAGCTGTAGAGGGCGCAGCGTCACTGGCCCATGTGGGAACCGAACCGGCAGCCCTGCTGCTCAGCGCTCATGCTCCCAAGCCAACTTGTAAATCTCTTTTCATCAAAAGTGTCATCGCATCAGTCTAAATTAAATTTCTTGGGCAGATTGAAAAATATTTAAGAATGCAGACTTTTCAGAACTCTCAATCCTATAGAAACATCAGCTTTTACTCTAGTAAAAATACTTTAAGCCCTAGATGCCTTGCTGAACCTCTCAAGTATGTATGTATTTGAGAATAATAAAGTTGAATTTATTTTGAAAATATTTTCTAGTTCAAAACCACTTTCAATGTGCTGCAAGTTGATTAAGTTTTATTTTATCTAGAGCATTCCAGAAGTGAGTGTAATAGAATCATCAGCATTTATGAGTATGAGTCAAAGAGCAAAATTCCTATATACCAGCTCCACCATGAGAGCCAGTCCAGTTCTTGCCCTTGTTTGGAGGGGGTCTGACTCGAGGCGGGCCTTTTCTAGTTTGGCCCAAGCTTCTTACACTCCATCCTATGTCTGCAATGGGAGCAAATCAGGATGGTATGAATTAGTAAATTCATAGTAAATTAGTAAATTAGATAGTAAATAGATAGTAAATTAGAAAAGCATAAATGTTCATGGGACATTGTGGCCTCTAGTGTCTACATAACTGCTGTTTACTCTTCAGGGTTTCACTCGTTTCTCAGGCCCTGGTTAAAGGTAACCTGATCAAATGATTAACTACAGGAATTAGCCTTGAAACTGGTTTTTGGCCTATATTGAGAATTATATTACTGGGTCATAGAATCATAGAATTTCAGAGCTTCACAGGACCCCGAGATCAAGTAGTTCAAAAGTAGAGTGAGTTAGAATTGAAATGTATTTAGAAAATAATTGTCTCATGGAACAAATATAACAGAACAAGTGAATTTTAGTCTCTTTGAAGCAAGTTATTGATCTAAAATAGGGCAAACAGCTTTAGAAAAGCATTTTAGGAAATCATAACATTTTAATCTAGGCCATTGTGTTACAGAAGTAGGAATAAAGAATTTTCTTAAGACAAATTATTACATTGCTGTTGTGCTATCATATAAGCCACCCATTTTTCTTTTTGTGTCAAAGACCTGCATGGTAAGGAATGAATAATCCTCACTATTAAAAAGTAGTTGAAAGTTTCAGAGAATTGTTTGTTTATCCTAGAAAAAAAAATCTAACTGATTAAGAAAACATATAAATTCATATGCATTTTTCCTGTTTTGTCTTGAAAAAACATAAAAGCCCCTTATCTAATATGAAATTGCCCTGGGAATAAGCTGAGTCAGTTTGAGTGGAGTGGGGAATTAGGCCCCGAGAAATTGACCCCTTCACTTAACATTTCAGAGGAGGTGATTAAGTAATTTGATTTGTGAAGTTATAGTAGACTGTTGATGCCTTCACACTTTACATTTATTACTCCACTAAGGGACACAGCTATGTTAGATGTTGCCTTTGGGTTTTCCTTTTTTAGTCAAATATGTTTGTGAATAAAGTTAAGGCTCTTAAAGAAAAAGAAGAGCGTCTGTATTCAGTTAACCTTTGTATATCATTGGGGAAAAGGTCATTCGGTTGTTTTTCATCCAAGCCTCTGAAGCCAAGATGCAGTTATAAATGTTTAAGCTGTTATATATTTGATATTGAATATGTGACATTTTGATAATTATTAAATAAGCTAGTATTTCTTGAACCTGTGTTATAGGTGAGGAAAGCTCTGTCATATAGTAGGTTTAAATCAAACCTATTTTTCCACTTTGTCTTATTATCCAATAATCTATCTTATTGATACAATTATCAGTAGTAGTTGTAAGTTTAAACTTAAAACATAGAGAAATATGATTGCTCTTAAATTTTCAGACTGGGCAGACTAAACTTCAACAGGACATACGTGTGTGTGTGTGTGTGTGTGTGTGTGTGTGTGTGTGTATAGATGAAATGGGCAAAGGGAAGCATCACTTAGCGCTCCCTAGTGAGCCAGTCCTAAGGAGCAGCTTTGGTGACTGGCCTGTCTCCTCTCCCGTAGTCCACCTAGAAGGCCGCTGTGGTGAAAGGATGTTTGATTGCCGAGATGTGGTGTTCATTGTTGGCGAAGGAGAAGACCACGACATTCCGATCGGAATTGACAAAGCCCTGGAGAAAATGCAGCGGGAAGAGCAGTGTATTTTACATCTTGGCCCACGGTAAGCTGCGCACCAGTTCAGTACACAGTGAAGTTGTCTAAGCAGGGATATGCTTGCTTTTTCAATCAACATGTTGGTATTTTCAGTGAAGTTGGTGCTAACAGTGGAAACAATCAAACTATGTTAGACATGGAGTGAATTAATGGGCGGGCCATAGACCACCAGCGCTTGTGAGCCTGTTCACTTGATTGATGTGTGTTAAGGGTAGGACTGACAGGCAAGTTTTGCTCTTTTGTTTATTTGTTTTGCCTGCTGTATTGCCAAGACAGGAAGCTATTGGTGCTTCTCCCATGATTCTGTTACCACCCCTTTCCTTTTCTCTAAATTAGGCAAGAGGCAGTAAAACCTGCGGGAGTTAGAAGTCCCAGCAGCATTTTTGGATGATTTATTACCACTTCAAATTGTGCCACCTGTTCTTATAGAGTCCCTGGGGGAAAAAAGTGTTCTTCCTGGATCTAAAGGCAGTGGCGATGACTCATTTTTGCCTAAATTTTTCCCATCATAAGGATACCCATTAGCACTTCCACACTCAGAACCACCAGACACTAACAGTCTCTCTTGTGAAAACACATTTGGTATTATTTTTAGATCTAAAATTATACCATGAGTCCAACCCTTCTATCTTGAGAAATGGACCACTGAGAGAAACCAGGGTGTTTGATTCTGTTTGCATGTAAGTGCATCCGCTTATCTTTGTGTCTGCTCCCTCTCTGCCTTGTTGGATTTCAGTCAGTAGGATTTTGATGAACTGCACTTACCAGTAGGTAACATGGTGCCTTTTATACAATCACTTGCCTTTCTCCAGCCTCCGTAGTAACCAGTGGCGTATCTACCTCTGCCCTAACACTTAGGCCATAATCATATTTCTCAAGTGATGTTTTAAACATGCTCCCACCCACTTGAAAATCTTCCAAAATGCGCTATACCTTGAACCCTTCAGAGGCTTCATGAGTGGCACCTTTTATTTAATACCTTCTTTTTCTCTGTCATATTCTTTTTCCACTACTATTTTCCCATGTCAGTGTTTCATTTACATTTACTCTATGTTTGTGGTTCACCCTTAGCTGAACCTATTTTTCTCCATAAGGAACTTTTTTTAATCAAGCAATGCACAGAGAAGGCTATCTCCTTTGGATAATATATATTATCCAAATAATATCTGGTGATTTTTAATCTAGCATTCTAAAATTATAGTAGTTCTAAATTCATATAGAGTGGTATTTATATCCAATGTATGTTTTCAGATTTAAGTTCCTTGAGGATAAGTTCTGAGCATATAATATTATATGAATGAGTTTGTTACATTTTAACCTAGCTTACAAGGCACTTATAGGGCCAGATTCTCAAGTTTAATGGCAAAGAAGAACAGAAATTATCTTTATACTTATTAACGCACGTAGTTCCTTGCAAGTTTAAATTGTACCAGTAGTGCCTAAACCCTGCTATGCAGCTTACTAGCTGTGTGCACTTGTGCAAGTCACTTAACTCTCCTAAACCTCAGCTTCCCCTTCTGTAAAATGGGGATAATAGTACCTACCTCGTAAAGTTGTGGAGAACTCAGTGAGATAATGCATGTAAAGAACTTAGCAAAGTGCCTGACACATAAGCCCTCGTATTAGCTATTTTTGCTATTGCAAGGTCTGTTTTCCTCTTCCATTTTACCCTCAGACCACAAGAAAAAGGAAACCCTGTTTAAACATATGGTAGATTTTTTTCAGTCATAGAAGTCATCAATAAGTTTCCATAAATTTCAAGATATTAAAGTTTTTTCATATGTTTTATGGAAAAATTTTAACATAGTTAGAAAGGAACGTGTTACTTTTTTCTTCAGATGTTGGCTAGTATGTTGAGCTACGGAAGGTACATAATGTGCAGTGGGAGACTACCCACACATGTACAGCTCAGTGTCACCCATGTATGTAGAACACGCCACCACCAGGCACACGTGAGCGCCTGCAGGGAATTACTTGTCTTACTCAGACTCGCACTTACCACACAGCATTGTACCTGAGCATTGTTGTAAATATGCTGTGTGACTCCCTGCATCACCTGTATTGCCTTCTCCACAAGATTTCCAGGTCATACCTTCTCTTTGATATTGATAGACTCCTTGGCAGGATGTTTTCATGATCAGAAATTCATTAAACACTTCCAAAGAACCCCTTTTCTCCTCATCAGGACAATATCTTATATATTGTTTTAAATACTGTGATGAATCTTTTTTGTTTTAGGTAAAGTGTGGCTAGTTTTTACTTTTTCTTTTTACTTCCTTCCCTTATGTTTCTGTTCTGTGTCAACCCCAAACCAAGGCTGCCAAGCTAATCAGGAGGCAGTGGGGGTCAAAAGCAAAACCGTTTTCTCGAACACACAGAGTCTGGATATAAATCCTGGCTCTACACTGCCTCTGTGTGTGACTCTCAGGAAGCACTTCTCTCTGAGCCTCAGTTTCTTCATCTATAAAAGGGGAACAGTTGATGAGAACTTAGGGTACACGTGCTTCTTGTATGCACATAAAGGCTTAGTGGTCAGTAATAGTCATTACGTGTATCTCTGCTCTCTGCAGGCAGCTGTTAACTCAGGAGCATTAATTCTGATACTGTAGCCCAGCTTGTCTTTTGATTAAGCCCTTGAACTCATTGGTGGTATTCTGTCTTTCAGTCAGAGGAATTTGTGTGCCCTGGGTCCTTCCTTGCCCAGGCTGATAGAACGTAAGTCAGACAACTTGCTGTATAATGTGGAAGTGAGGTTAGATGTTCCCAAAACAGTTTGGTGTGTGCTTACACCTCCCAGGATGATGCGTTCCACGTACATCTCCACGGAATCTCTCCATTTGAACCCAGGAGAGATTGTAGAAATAATATCCTTCTTCAGTCTCTTTTAATCCCATTGATAACCAGGACAATTTGGTGCCTCCCTTGACGCACCTCCAGCCTTGAGACCCCTATTTGTGATTTCCTCTGAGGCAGCTTTTCTCATCCTCAGCACTGTTGACATCTTGGGCTGGATGTTTCTTGGTTGTGGGGCTGTCCTGTGCATTGTAGGATGTTCGGCAGGGTCCCTAGCCTATTCCCCCCCAGATGCCAGTGGCACCCACATAGCTGTGACAAACCCATCTCTACACATTACCAAATGTCCCTGGGGTAGGGGGATTAAAATCACCCCTCCTGAGAGCCATTGGTCTAAGGCAAGTGCAGATCATCTGTTGGATTTGTGCCTGTGTAGCCCAGGGCTCCAAATAGAACATGCTGTCAGTAAACACATCTCAGCGAGGCCTCCCCTTCCTACCTAGTTCCCAGCAGTTAAGGAATGTTCTTTATTTACCAGATGGCAGAAACAAAATAAGAGAGATATAGGTCTAAGAGCTCAAAGTAGAAAACTAGTCACCACTTCCTAAAACTGACCACTGGTAATTATGTCCTCTCTTATTTCTTTGCTGAAGATACCCTTTGCCCTGCTATTAAAACCACCACACCCCATTTCTACCAGCTCTCATTGTATCTCTTTGCCTCACTCTGGCTCCAGCTTCCATTTTCTTGTGTAACAGTGAAGGTGAGTAAGCATTTTCTTCCTGAAAAATTCAGGCAAGGGGTAAAGAAAGTGACGCAAGTAGCAACATATGAGTGTTCCCACTCTAGTCCCATTGCCCCGGAGGAAGTTCAAGGTGTTAGCATAGACCGGGTTTGTCATCTTTCATAGCCTGAAAATTTGGGTTTACTCAGTTTTTTGCAGTGTCCTTCCATTTATTAAAGAGTAGTTTGGTGTGAAACAGATGAGAACAGAATCTATTCCAGTGAACACTTTCCTAATATGCTGGGCATTGTTCTAAATGCTGGGGAACCCTTGAACCGAACAGAGCCCTGCCAGAACTTCCGTTCTGGTAGATGTGGATTTCTTGAATGCCTTGGATTTGTTAAAGATCTGAAATGACCCGAAAAAACAAATTTATATATCCTCATGATTTTATTCAGTCAGGTTTGGCTAGAAGATGTAGCATTTTACAGTTTGACAGCCACAGAACTCGGAGAGTATTTCTCTTGATGAGTTGTTTGAGCTTGCTAGGGCTGTTCTTTTTGATGATGCTTTTGTTATATCATTTGTAATTTTTAGTGTGCTTTTTTAAAGTCTTGGAGAAACACTGTGGAAATGTAATTTTTTTCCCTGATGGGCGAGCTTCTCCTCTTACCCATCTGACTGGAAGCGGTGCTGTTAGCAGGAGACAGCACTTTAAAGCCGAAAGCTTATTAAAACATACCTCTAACGAACAGCACTGAAACGATTGCAGTGCCCGTCTCCTCTGCCCTCCTGCTGATACAGCTTCTCCTCTGCCCTCCTGCTGATACAGCTTCAGGGAGGAGTTCTCATAGCCAAAGAATGGCTATTTTGTAAAAAGAACTGGATATAAAATCAAGCAGAGAAAAAGGCAGTGACGTTTAAAATCACAGTGAGCAAGCTGCCCCAAGGAGCACAGGTGTTGCATTACATGTGAATGCGAAGGAGAAAAGAAAACTGAATCTAGCCTGGTTTTGTAAAAAACCATCGCAGTGGTGCTTGGCATATATCTTCTGATCAACCTCTGGCTTGTCTTCAGGGTCTCTGATATATGTAGTCTGCAAATAATAGCTCTGTCTAATGTGATGCTGCAAAGTACCAAAGGAAGTGCCTGGAAATACACCCATTCTTTTAAAGTTTTATGTCTTTACTCTCCATTTCAGATATGGTTTTGGAGAGGCAGGGAAGCCTAAATTTGGCATTGAACCTAATGCTGAGCTATTATATGAAGTTACACTTAAGAGCTTCGAAAAGGTGAGAAAATACCAACTCCTCTGAAATCATGGTAGATTTCCTCTCCATCCACTTCCTGTAAATTATAAAATACATGACTAGGTGGTATAGGTAGATGGTATGTTCTTTTCATGACCAAGTTTGTCTCTAGTCTCTGACACTGAGCATGGGACAACTGATACAGCAGAGCTGATACACAGCTAAGGAGCTCAGTGTTCCTATTTTGTTCCTATGTGTCAGCCTTTTTTTTTTTTTACTTTTTTGGGTAGAAGCCAACACTTGTTCCCTTATTTGTTCCTAGACTTGTTCTTTTTGTACTTTTTTTCCTGGGTTGAAGACAAAAAAGTTCACATTCTGCCAAGCAGCTCCTTGCGGGAGTGGGACGCAGTTTTCCAGTGCTGAACGGATTGTACCCTTCCCAGGAGTGGTGAAGAGGCCTTCACTGGGGCTCCAGGTTATTATCTGAAATGCAAGGCTTCAAGGGCCACCAGGCTCTGTGACAAGGAACACAAGAGACAAACCTGCTAACCCCAGGCCTTTTCTTTTCATACCTTTCCAAATAGAAAAAAGAGAGAGTTCATCAATTGCCTTGAGTTCCAGAAACGGCGTGCCTCTCTGAGTATATTTCCATCTCAGGCCTGCCTCTGGAGGCTCCCAGCAGCAGCCTCACTGGGCAGACACAAAGCATATGCCTGAGCAAGGTATTCTCTCGTGTCAGCTAAGTCCCCTCTGCACCACCAGAGCCCCCCTTCCCCAGAACCCTCAAGAACTACGTTTTGTCAGACTTTTTTTATTCCTACAGTGTTACGTCCACAATCTGTGCATTAGGCCTTGGACTGGAATCATGATTGCTTATATTTTATTAGACTCTGAAAGGACATCATTGTCCTGTAGGCCTGTAACTTGGGGTTAAGAAAGTCGGGGAAGGACTCCTTTAGGATTCTCCCCCAACAGTGATGTTCCCGGTCATACCCCTCACACTTCATGCTCCCCAAAACGAACACATGCCTTTGTCATGACCACCGCCCATTGTCAGGTAGGCCTGCTAGTTCAGCGCCGATCCTCCAAAGCTGTCTTCATGGCACAAAGTGGTTTTTATTGTTCAAGAGAGAGGATAATCTTTAGCACATGGTCATTTAAACCTTTGACTTTCCTATTCCCGTTTCAATAAAGTCATGCCAGCCTCTTCCCACCGTGGCCCAGTGCACGTGGCTTACTTCGGCGCCTTCTCCCTGTTCTCGCCACAATGAGCCTGTGCTGTCGTTACCCCAAGAGTATGTTCCACGTGATGGTGTGTGATGTTAGAGGCAACATGATTTAATTCTCTGCCTCATTGTATAAAGAATATTTTTATATGGGCCGGCTGAGTGGCTCAGTTGGTTAACAGCTCGCTCAAGAGTTTGAGCTCTGAGCAACAGCGGTTCAATGCCCGGCCCGAGCTGAGCTGCCAACAGGTGGCAGGATGGCTCAGCTAAAAAAAAAAAAAAAAGGAAAAAAGAAGAAGAATATTTTTATACTCTATAAAGACTGAACCTACTATAAAAAATACCAAGGGCCCTTGGTATTTTTAAATAGATTTTTAAATAACAGCTGAATTGTTAGGAAGCAACATGGGGTTGCCAGGAAGACTGGTAACTCTCATTATTCACTTTTGGGGGATGGGGATGGGTGGGGAGGGCTGTGACACCAGGACTACACCACTTTTGAATAGAGAGAATTTACAGTTACCACTTAAGCTTCATAATTCCGACGCAGTAAATAGCTCTGACAGAGCCATTGTCATTTTCCCTAAAGGACCCCAGAGTGTTCTGTTGACTTCATGATCGTTCTAAATCCAGCTGTTCGTAATGAAAGTGCAGTTGCCTCTGAATTTGTATCTTTAATGGGAGAGACCCATGACACACATAATCGAGATTAGCAGATGACCATCAAATCATTTACTTACGGCTTTGAAATGATATTTTTGCATCAGCTTTATCCTCCCAATTAACTTTTATTTGAAATTCCCCAAGTACACACCTGCAGGTTGGTACAGTTTGGAGGCTTTAGGGTATCTGGTTGTTTTAGAGTGGAAGACAACTAGATGACTAGGAAATTAAAAAATTCTTATGAATATACAACTGTGACTTGACTGTAATAGTGTTCCCATTTTAGAGTTGGAAAACTGAGGCTTGGAGAAACCGCTTGCTGGAGTTATAATAGTTTAGTGGCAGAGTTTGCAGGAAGGAAATAAGGGACTCTGGTCTTCATTGGGTGGCCTCCCCTTACAATTCTAAAGATACACTCTTTAACAGTGTTCAGCGGTTTATGTTCCCTGCTAGATTTTTGCCTGCTCCTCCCTCTTGAACAACATGGGTCAGACTGCAGCTCTGTCATTGGGAAGTGGTGGCAGTGAATTGGCCACCGCACACAGTTTTAAAGCCAGTGTGTTTTGAGGTGTAGGTATCATCTAAAAGTAGTCACTATTTGTCCTTCTGGGCATCAGCTGATGCTTTTTCCTCCTCTGTTCATCTAACCATTGTCACAAATTTACACAACAGGCCAAAGAATCCTGGGAGATGGATACCAAAGAAAAATTGGAGCAGGCTGCCATTGTCAAACAGAAGGGAACTGTGTACTTCAAGGTATGTGAGTTCTTGTACAGTCCTTTCCATCTCAAGGAATTTGCTTAAATGTCAGTTAATTGTGCTGATATTTCCTACTCTGCATTTTATCCATACCCTTCTGGCTAAGAGTAAGCCTGAATTCTTACAAGTCTGTCATTTCTAGTATAAGAAATGGTGAGAAAGAATGAAGTAACATACCGGAAGAATGCATATGCCTCATTTACACAGTCTCTTCTAGATTGTAACCCTCTCTCATGGCAAACCAGGTCTGGCTTGCCCGGCCACCCCTGTCACTCAAGGCCCAAAGCATCTTGCGTTGGTACATGGTTGGCACTCAGTAAGTGTTTGTGGAATGAAACAAAGAATGAATAGAATATTTGTTAGCAAGTAACAGAATTCATAGGGGTAAGTTTTACATGGTTTTCCTTTCCACTGTCTTGGTGAAGTCACTGAGGCACATGACAAAAGGAAACAACCTGCAGGTTTCAAAAGAACATTCTGAAACAGGAGGCAACTGGTAATTTCTTCTAATGGCCACGATGATCCCGCCACACTTGCTTCTGTGAGGACTTCTCAGAAATTCCCAAATGATACTTGTCATTAATTGCTTCTCGAAAACCCTTTCTTGTAACATCTAGGAATGTATCATTTCCTCAGATAGAAGAAAAAAGAAACAGCCTTTTGTTCAGTATGAATCAGAATGCTCTCCCTGTTGCTTCCCCGCCCTAAATATGTACCTTCTCCCTGTGAAGCAGAAAGGCTTACTGAGGAAGAGAGAGCAAGAATGGAGTTTTGTCCAGCTTTCTTTCTTTTTTTTCCCCTTGCCACTGCAATCCATGAACAAAAATTAGATGATGTTTCAACAGGTCTTTATGGAGCTTCTTCTTTAAGATAAGCTATTGTTTTGACAACCTTGTCTGGAGGGAGGGGAAGCGATGCTCACCAACATGAAACAACAAGAGAATTATGTAAGACTGTTTAATCAACACAAAGTTAACACAAGGCGCAACGTGTATGGTTATTGGTTTTTAAGCTTTGAGAAAAGATCCTTCATTGGGTCATGAAATCAATTTAGTGGATGTGGATATTGCACTATTTAGTAAGGATAATCTTGTTTCATAAATCTTTTATTCACTTGTGTGAGTGGGTTGGGTACTCAGTCACAATTTAAAACATTTTTTACTGTGGATTATGGTTAAACAAATTTGAAATCCATTTGCTTAGGTAATATATAACTATATTTATTTCTAACTATCATATATACTAAAATAATGTATGGATCACCGATAAGCATTGGGGTGTGGTGGAATGAGTTCTGAATTGGGAGCTGGGAAAATTGGGCTTTATGGCTCCAAATGATTTAAAGTCATTTAAGGTCCAAAGAGGTTATTTTTTTCATGTGAAAAGTGAGGGAGTCAGAGTAGATGATCCCCAAATTTCTTTCCAGCCATAAAATCCTGAGTTTCTAAACTCTTTTTTTTTTTTAAATTCAATTTGGGTATATTGGATACTTCTATTCAAGTAAAATTCCAAATGGGTTATTTGTAGACCAAAATACTCAGTACACTAAGTATAAAAAAGGAAATTTTCTGTAAAATCCCTGAATGTTTTCTATATACGTGGAGTTCATAAAAGTCATAAATGTATTTTTCATATTTCCCAAAACTTCGAAATAGAATGTTAACAGTTTTGGAGAGGGGGGGATGGTGAGGCTTTTGGCATTTGCCTAAAATTATATCAACTCAGTGTAGTAGAACAGTTGTACGCTTCAGAAGCTCCAGTTGGTTGCTGATGACTCAGAACTTTTTTGATACATTGCTAATGAAATGTTGCAAAGCCACATCTTATAGTGTGTCCTGAATGTGTGTGTGTTTGTGCGTGTGTGCATGCTTGCGTTGTATGTGTGTGCATGTGTGTGAATGTATGTGCACGTGTGTGTGCGTGTGCATGCATGCTTTGTGTGTGTGTGTGTGTGTGTGTGTGTGTGTGTGTGTGTGTGTATACACATGCAGAGGTGGCCAGAATTTGTGACCAGTAGCAGAAAGCAGTGCTTACGTGTCTATACAATTACTTTATTGCTTCTTAGCATCACAATTGCAGCAGTGATTTGTGTGTTTCATAATATCATGAACCCTCTTAAAATTACTTATCTTTGAATAAAATCTGGATCAGCAGTCACACATATGGAACATATTATTTTAAACATGCAATTTGATAGACAAAATCTTTCAAAACATTAGTCCATTGGGGAAAAATTAATGAAAGGTTCAAAACCACTGACCTAAGACTTTTCTCCCAGAATGTCTCTGAACATTTTGTACCACTGAAAACTCCCCTGGAGGCACCTTCATATTCATAGGTAAAAGGTACCAGCAGTGATCCTAGTTTTTTAGCTGTAAGGCTTCCAAATGGTCAGTAGAGAGTTTCCTGTACACATTCCCTTTAAACTTTCAGGGCAGGTTCACAGATGCGCCACCCTCCTAGGCCTGGTCTCTCCAGGGCGTTTGACTTGGCACATGGTGCTCATGCAGAGTCCAGATGTGTGGGTGAGAGCAGGAGATGGGGAAATAAAAACCTGCATTCCATGCCAGGTGTACGTTGGAACCCAATTTTTATTGACCTGTTGGTTTGGTTTACACTTAAGTGGGTAAATCTCTCCCCCTTGGTCGAGTTGAATTGTGCTCAGCTTTTAAATGGAAATGATTTTGCTGCTTAGATTGTGAACTCCTCGTATGGACTTCTGAACACTGAAGAAAGGTGGAAGAGGATTCTCTTCATTTGGCTCTCACACTAGTTATTAAGCATACATAACATGATATTAGGGCAGACTTTGTGCAAGCCAATGAGACAGACTTAATTTTTATTTTCCCCTCCTGGCTGGCAGCATTCTGCAGGACGGGAGCATTCGCTGTCACTTCTAGTTGGTGGTTCTTTTTTCCGACTTGACACTACAGTGATCCAGGGTTCTAGCGCCCCCTTGTGCTCTTTGGGAAAAAGGCATTTCCACAGCGAGCTAGTTAAGGATCATCTTTCAACCACTGAACCCTTTTCAGACAAACCAGGCTTTGCTATGTTTTGACCACCCTTGCTGAACCAAGAAACCAGTGCTGGGATTTGAAACAAGTCATTTATGACCCTACGATTTTAGGTTAAAAAAGGAAAACTCATAAAAATAGTCAACCCTGCCTTTTTTCTTCATTCTTTTAGTACAGGATTTCTCCACCACGGCACCGTTGACATTTGGCGCTATAATTCTTTTTGGTGGGAGGCTGTTATGTGCATTGTAAGATACTTAACAGCACCCCTTGCCTCTTCCCATTAGATGCAAGTAGCACATATACCCTCTTCAGTTGTGACAACTAAAAAACATCTTTCAACATTGCCAAATGTCCCGGGGGCGGGAGAGGCGCAGAATCACCCCAGCTGAGAACTCCTGTGTAGCACAGCAGAAGCAGAAATACCACAGAATACTCTTTGCTCACAGGAAGTTGAAATTGAAATAAAATTATATATGGTATATAGAAAAGAGCTTTCAAGAAATTAAAATGCTCTATAAATGTAAAAGAACTACTGTAAAGTGTGTTACTTGGTTTTCTTTTTAGAAACCATAGCCTTGTACCATTCTGATTATTCACAGCCTACCAAAGTGATAAAGATCTGGGTTTTTGTCCTCCCTAGCTCTTTCCCGTCCCTGTAACAATGTATTAGGAGATAGTGGGAAAGGTAATAGGAACATTAAAGATGGAGGAGGAAGAGAAAGGAAAAAGAAACTAGGCATAACAGGAATAATGCCTGTCCTTCTTACCTGATCTAAATGAAATGACACCTTTCATTTCTACCCCACCTCCATGTATCACCCAATGATAGAAAAAAATTTGAGTCCATAGTTATATTTCTTTGACTTTAATGTTTACTCAGCGAACCTTCATTAAGAGCCTCTTTGTGCCAAACCCTGCATATTCCAAATAGGCATAGGACATGCTTTATGTCCTCAAAGAGCTCGCAATCCAGCAAGAGAAAAGTAACAGAAAGAAAATGCCACACCCTGAAACTAATGAGGACTTTATTTGATTTTATTTTTGTAGTGCCCAAAAAAAAAGTAGTGGGCCTATGGCTCTGACAAAATATAAGTTTTGTCTTAGTTACCTCAGGCTGCCATAATAAAATACCATAAACTGGGTGACTTAAACTACAGGAATTGAGTTCTCCTAGTTCTGGAGATTGGAAGTCCAAGATCAAGGTGCCAGCAGGGACACTGTCTCGGAGAGCCCTCTCCTTGAGTCACAGATGGCCGCCTTCTTACTGTGTCCTCATATGACTTTCCCTAGGTGTTTGCAGATGGGAGAGGGAGGAAGCAAGTTCTCTGTGTCTCTTACAAGGGAATTAATTCCATCATGAGGGTCCCACCTTTGTGGCCCCACCCAAACCCAGTTATCTTCCAAAGGCCCCATCACCAAAAACATTTCCTTGGGGGGTAGAGTTCCAACGTATGAATTGGGAGTGGGGAACAACGCAGTTCAGTTCAAGTACAACATAATTTCCCCAAGAATTTCAGCATTTATTATGAAAGGGCTGGTTTCATATTCTTACAGATAACCTGTATCACAAATTTCGGAGGCAGAGAGGGTAACAGACTTTGATTTTGGCACCCTTCTCCATCATGACACCTCAGAATCCTTTTGTACTGCCTTCCTAGAGCAGAACCAGGGAGCCCTGTGTCTCCCCTTTCCTAAACAAGTCACTTGTGAAGAGGGATGTTGAAGGCGGGTGTAACTTTGCCCTCATTCAGTCCCATGCTCCCCCGCTTGGAACCGGCCTATCCCATCCTCATCACCAAAAACCGGCATCAGGGCTTCCCTTGTACCGGTGAGCTCATTTCTCACGCCCGCCCCTGTCAGTCCTTCATAACAGGAGCATCCTCGTAAGCCTGCTGGGTGACGTTTCTCACGCAGTCACTGGGTGAGGTTTGGAGTGTATGTGGGGAGACCAGAGGTGTGCACTGCTCTGACTGCAGTAAACCCTGGTGACATGAGCGTAACGCTGTTCATTGGCCAGACATTGGATTTAATGTCCTACTGGGTCCCAATTCTGCCATCTGCTAGTAAGCGCCATGTTTTCAAGCCTGTAGCCATCTCCTGCAGAAGAGATCCCTCACCTCTCCCCCCATTTTACTGGTGTATTTACCAGCTATCATTCCTTTGTTTCATTCATCCTAAAATGGCAGTAAACACATTGTCTCAGCCCCATAATCTGTTGTATAGAGCATATATATAATTCATGTGAATTATTTACACAATTGTTATTCACGGTATCTTAGAACTCTACTAGTCAGGTAAGAGCAAAATTATGAGTAAGAGAAACATTTCTCTCATGTAGTTAACTGACACCTATGTGATTAATATTTTATTGTTATGTTGGATGCTGCTAGTCAACTATGTGCATTCCCATTGTTTACAGCCTGTTTTTGTAAGTAGGGTCCCATTGGGACACAGCCACCCCCATTTATTTATATAGTGTCTGTAGCTGCTTCAGCACCACCAATGACAGACTTGTAGCAGAGATTGCTTGGCTTGCAAAGCCTTAAATACTTACTGTCTGCCCCTTTCCAGAAAGTTTGCTGAGCCCTGGTTAGGTAACTATGAGCTGCTGTGTTTGGGACTGGCCCTTGCCAGCATGTCTGCTGTGCGTGCTGGTCATCAAGAGAAAAGAAGAGTAACTTCCCCTCATAAACGTGTGACGTAGGCTGAAACTGCTCACCACCCTTTAGAAAGTCTGCAGATATTAGCACCAAAGACTGTAATCCCAAAAATGCCTTGCTGAAAGAACTGCCCCTCTGAGAAATGGAGAACAGCAGCTCACAGGGCACTGTCCAGACCGGCCCAGGGGTCCCTGGGACCTCAGCAAGAATGGGGAAGGTGCCTGGATGCCACTTCCTAGGAACAGGAAAATGATGGCATTCCAGGGTCGGCAGGAGGGGGATGTTCCTGAGCTTACGCTTCTTTGTACCCCTCCAGAGGTGGTGCAACAAGTGATGACAGGCTTTTTCTCCTAGGGAGGCAAGTATCTGCAGGCGGTGATTCAGTATGGGAAGATAGTGTCCTGGTTGGAGATGGAATATGGCTTATCAGAAAAGGAATCTAAAGCCTCGGAATCATTCCTGCTCGCTGCCTTCCTGAACCTGGCCATGTGCTACCTGAAGCTCAGAGAATACGGCAAGGCCGTGGAGTGCTGTGACAAGGTAGGGTGTCTGCGCACGCTGGGGTGGGGGCGGGGATGGACCTGGGCCTGGGCCTCCACATACTCCACATCCTTTTCTCCCCTCCTACTTGGTCTTCCTTTGCTTCCTCAGCCAGGGGTCGAGGGTTGTTTATTTGGCTTTATTTATTTTGGGGGGGACTATTTGTTTCTCAGTATGAATTGGGAAATTCAGAAAGATTTAAATTACAGACTATTTAGATATCTGGATTATTTATCATAATACATTATGAATAAAAGTTTTGATAAAATTAAATAATTTTCATCCATGACCTCCCTTAAATTTATAGCATTTGGTATCAGATTAAACATATAACTCCTCAGGTTCAATTTAATAAGAAAAGATTTAACTTAAGCCTTTCAGGACTTTAATGTAACTGACTGCAACTGCTCTTATAGAGGATATGTACAAGTCACTTTTTATTATAATCATATTTATTCACTGACTAAGAATACACATAAGTAATTTGAAGACCCGCAAAGCATCAGCAGCCCTCTCCGTTTTTACATGTGTACTGTTAATACTGTTACTGCTCCTTTGGTACCTGGGTGCTCCGTGACAGTGTTTATCAGATGTGTGATTCTGATGTGTTTATATACCAACTGGTGCTGAATATTATGTCAGGCATTTGGTCTGACATAATATTGTGAACAGTGTGTACTATATTGTGGGTACTGTGAGTAAAAGCTAATAATTGTATGTACCTAAAGATAAACAGAAAGGGATAGGAAAAACAAACAACTATTTCATACATTCTTTCTAAGATTATTTTTGAATTTTAAGATTGAGTTTTGTGTATCAATATGTTCCCTATCATGTTACACTAAATTTTTGTCTAAGAAGAAAATTTTACTGTTTAGTGCATTTTTTGTAATTACAAACTTTTTGCTTCTTTATTCATTTTATTATAGAAGTAGTATAAAGTTACTAAAAATTAAAACATTTTAGAAACAATCAAGAAAGTAAAAAAAAAATCCATTCATAAAATTTCCATTGACCCTCTCTCCCAGGACCATAGTCATTCATCTCACACAGATCCTTCTGTTTTTTCCATACATAGAGTTATATATTTTTAAAAATGAAAATATGTAGATTTAGATACATAGTTTTATAAAACAAAGATTTTTCTGCATCTTATCAATCTATCATATAGTTTCTCATTGTTTTTAAAATGTTTAGTATCCATTGTATGCATTTATCATCATTTATTTAACCAATCCCCTTTGGTATATTTCTAGTTTTTGATATTACAAATTATATAGTGTCTTTCTATATATAACATATATATAGAAAGATATATATATATATATATATCTCTTTTTATAGCATATTTAGTATTATTTTTGTAGGATAAATTCCTAGAACTGGAAATACTGGGTCAACAGACTTGATAATATTTTAATACATTAACATTTTAAATTTTAATACATTATATATTATCCTTAAATAGTATCAGCTTTTTTCTCAATATTATTGTCAACAAAAAATTTATTTTCATTTTTATTTCTTGGTTACTAATGAAGTTTTCATTACTTATTAGCCATTTGTATTTCTTCTGTGAATTGCCTGTTCACATCCTTCTACCACATTATTTATGTTTTCAATTCATTAAAACAACCTGTACATTATCACTATTAACTCTTTGTCTGACAGTAGAGACCCTGTTCTCCTTATTGGTTTGTTTTTTAACTTTGTTGATGGTATCTTTTTCTATAGAGAAATTTTTAGTTTTATGTAGTCAAATCTGTCTTTTCCTTTCTAGTTAGAATAAATCTTCTGTACCATCAGATTATGAAAATAACCCCATTGGGCCCTTGAAAACTTATTCCAACTATGTTTACTTTTTAAACATTAATAAAAAAATAAGCCTTTATGGGGTTTTTTGCATGTAAATATATTTGGTTTAGAATTTCTTTTTGTGTTTATGATACGAGGTAAGAATTAACTCTGTTTTTACATACATACACATGAATCTGTTTCTGAATGCTTTGTTCTGGTTCACTGACCAGTTTGTCCATGGACTAGTAACCAAGCTGTTTTAATTTCAGTAGTTTAATAGTGTATCTTTTTCTCTGGTAGGTCAAGTACCCTCTCATCATTTTTGTTTTCTAAAATTCTCTCAGCCATTCTTAGGCATTTGCTCCTTCCATCAAAATGGACTTCTCAAGAGCCCCCTCCCAAATCCCTTTGGGATTTATGGAAATTGCATTAAAGACAGAAATTAATTTGGGTAGCTAGTTGTATTTTGATCAGTAATATATAATAACCTTGAGCCCATCTTTTCAATACTTTTTCCAGTTCCCTTGGCCAGAGAGCTTTGGTAAGTTATGTAAATACTGAGTTTCTTTAAAATTCCTACAAATTACGTTCATTCTTTCTAAACTGTAGACCCTCTGTTCTAGGCCCTTGGACTGGACAGTGCCAATGAGAAGGGCTTGTACAGGAGGGGTGAAGCCCAGCTGCTCATGAACGAGTTTGAGTCAGCCAAGGGCGACTTTGAGAAAGTGCTGGAAGTAAATCCCCAGAATAAGGCCGCAAGGCTGCAGATCTCCATGTGCCAGAAAAAGGCCAAGGAGCACAACGATCGGGACCGCAGAATATACGCCAACATGTTCAAGAAGTTTGCAGAGCAGGATGCAAAGGTGTGTGTAGGACCCACTGCCTTCAGGTAGATAAAAAACCGACCTTACCCTGGGAGCATGGTGCACAGGAAAGGTAGACAACCCGAGAGGCACAAGAACAGAGAAAACAGTTTCCATTCTGATCTGAGGCTGGTTTGAATCCAGAGATAGAAGAGGGCTACTGACATGTCCATGCAAGCGATGAGAAAAATTAATTCTCTAGATATGTACTAAAGCTCTTATTATTAAAAAATCAAACATCAGGTTTCTTCCAGATACCATGTTTCCCGGAAAATAAGACCTAGCCAGAGAATAAGCCGTAGCATGATTCCTCCAGGATATAGAGGGCACGCACCCCTCACATGAGGGTTTTATGACCTATTTCAGGGAGAAGAGTGCCTTTCCCACAAACTTCTTCAGCTTAAAATATTCAGTATGCTAAGGTGCCATGTTTTGGCACCTAAAATTATGCGAGGGCTTATTTTCTGGCTAGGTCTTATTTTAGGGGAAACAGGGTAGTGCTTCCATGTTGAGTCTTGCAGTGTTCCCAGAAAATAGGCTGTGGTGGGGAAGCCCCACCATCATGCCCTTTACTTTGACGTTCAGGAGCCAGCCTGCAATGCGATAGGAGAGGTCAGCTCCCCCTCAGCAAAGCTGTATTCTGGTCCTGAGCTCACCCCGCACTCCCCAGCCCTCTCGTGTATGGACTTGGTTATTAAGCCTTGGCAAGCTAGTCATTTTAACCGAAGGAAAGTAAAAGCCCCACTCCAGCTCTGACCTACCCAGTCCAGCACCCACAGTAAAGTCATGGTACCTACCACCTCTCGTGTTAGAGCTGACAGACAGCCTGGAGGAAGCCAGAAGCTAATTGAACATTTCACTTATTCCTTCCTCAGGAAGAGGCCAGTAAAGCAATGGGCAAGAAGACTTTAGGAGGTGTCACCAACAAGAAAGAAACAGAACGCCGAGCAACGGAAGAGAAAGCTGAAAGCCGCGTATGACACCACGCCAAGGAGGGGAGAGTCCTAATGAACTCGGCCCCTCCTCCGAGGGCTTCACCCAACTCAGGACTGAACAGCGTTTAATGTCAAGTTTGTTATAGTCTATGTGATTCTGGAAGCAAACGGCAAAACCAGTAGCTTCCCCCAAACCACACTCTGCTGCTGCCCAGTGCTGTCATTAAGGGGTGGTGTGCGACCACTCCAGGTGGAACCGAAGTGACTGTTGGTGTGGCCACATGACGCCAACAGCTTAAGTCCAGCTCATTTCAGTTTATGTCAACTTTCAATATCCAATTCAGGGTCCCTTGAGATAATCCTAACAATTTGGGGCTGTCTGTTAGGTTTTATATTTGATTGAATTTTAATAGCACTTCAGAAACCTAAAAATAAATGCTTAATGAATTTCTCCTTTCCTACAGCTGGATGGGGGAGAGGAGAAGGAGATTTTGTTTTTAAAATAACTGAAGTGCTATGAATGCAACTTGTTGTATTTTTAACCAATAGCACCCACAGCAGAGGGGTCCGGCACCCCCTCAGCTCCACAGCAGTGTCACAGAATTGAAAGCCAGAACCTCAGAGGCGACTTGCTTGCTGACATAGTCAAACTCCCTCCTTAGTGAGAGTGGGTTTCTGCCACACCCAGCCTGTCCCTAAGGAGGAATTCTGTCATTCCTAAAACACTCAGCAATGACAGTGAGCAGAGGGAGTTTCCGGATTAGCTGTCCCTGTTTTGAATGAAGTTCTGAGATGCTGAAATGTGAAAAGAGCAACCAGGATTGTGCTTTTTTTTTCCTTCCTCTCTTCCTTTTAGGAAATAATGTTGAGTGTAGGACTGCCTGCTAGCATTGCAATCGTTCAGTTTCTTGTTTCCATTCTAACCCCTGCTATTAAGAATTTAAGATTTGTTCTTATAATATCTCTGACCTGGTGTGGATTTATTCACATACCTATTTAGGATCTCTGCAGCTCTTTTTGTTGTCTTTTTAAAATTACTGGCTCATAAACATTTGTATACTGGTTTATGGAACTTTATTTACACTCCTCACGCAAAAACAAAAACAAAAAAACCTTTTTACTATTAAGTAGCTGGATTTTTTAAAACAAAATTTGTGGGGTTGAAAAAATTAGTAGTTGCTCTTCTACATTGAGGGTTTTCCTTGCAGTTTTGACACGTAGCAGCTTTCCTTTCCTGTGCTGATAGCTTCTTTGTTCTGGTATGAGTTGTGAAAAAGAATTGAAAACAGCCTCCCATGCAGGTACTTCTAGCCTAAAATCTCAAGTACTTGGGCATTGAATTAGGGCAAGTCTCTTAAATACATACATGTAGTTGAATTTTAGTCTTTACGGGTAAATGAGATTGAGCATGGCTTTCTATTCCCACAGCCTAAGAAACACTCTTGGGAATGCATTTGGCACTTCAAAGAAACATCTCACTTATTCAAAGCCCTAAAGAACACTGGCAATTATATTTTATATTAGCTTCAATTTTTATGGTAGCTTTAACAAAACACTTTTATTGTTAAGTTAGGACCCATGTTAAAACCTAAAAATAGTCATTTCCTTTTATGCCAGTTTTCTCCATGGAACAGACGGAATTAAATTGTGAGTTGCTCCATTAATTATTATTATAATTTCTTATTTATGACTTTATTCTTTTTTCATGAGATATTTCTTTAAAAAGCCCCAATCTGGGCCGGCCGAGTGGCGCGTTGGTTAAGAGCTGGCTTGGGACTCCAGCTTTGAGCAGCAGGGCCCTGGTTCAGATCCCACATGAGGGCCAGTGACACTGCGCCCTCTACAGCTAAGATGGTGAACAACAGCTCGACCTGGAGCTGGGCTGCTGTGAATCGCCGGCGACGGCATAGGCTGCAGCCCCTGCTGCAGTGGGCTGCCATAAGCTACCATGAGTGGCTGGCAGCCAGCGTGAGCAGTTGGCAGCCGGTGTGAGCTGCCAAGAGCCGCCATGAGCGGCCGTCCAGAGGCTAGCGACTGACCTGCCTCACCCAGGAAGAGCACAATGATAATACCAACATGGGCCAGTGAACCGACGTCCTCCACAACTAGATTGAAGAACAAAAAGACAGCAACTTCTCTGTTCCCCTTCCCCCGATTCCCCAGTGCTGTTCCCCTCCCCCAATTCTCCAATAAAATCTTAAATTAATAAAAAGCCCCAATCTCACCTAGGAAATAAGCAAATATGCAAAATCAACTTTTGCTTTTTCTAACTGTTTAGTATTTGTAGCTCTGTTGACTAGAGCAATATGACTCCAGTGAGCCCAAGACTGAGATTTGATCCTTAAAAGGCCAGTTAGCTTTTTGTAGGAAACAAACAAACTATTCCAAAAATTAGATTATCCTAATAAACTGTCTCCCAAATGTGTTATGTGTCATCAAGGCAAAAGTGTGTGGAGGAGAGGGGAAACCGTGTGTGAGTGGTTCTGAGGAAACAATTATGAAGTGCCCATCACCACGTGGGAAAAAGAAAGCTCACATATTCTTGTATCAAATTCAGTAATAATAAACAATTTGTCTAGAAATCAGCATCTTTTAGACTGCATAGGGACTGGTGAGGCAGCATATGATGAATTAAAAACAAATTGTGGTGTGTTTTTTTTTTTTTTTAATCATTCAGATGCACTTTTTTGGTGTTCCTTAAATAAATTCAAAAACGTGATTTCCCATTCTTGGTTTTGTTTAAATAGTCTTCAAAAAAGGTTGTTTTGGTTAGAAAACTATAGTGGAGCCCAAGTTGAAATGAGACATCAGAAAGTTGGCAAGGACATAGCTACAGCAATCAGACAAGAAAAATACAAGGAATCCAAATTGGAAAGAAAGAAGTAAAACTCATTATCTGCAGATGACATGCTATTATATAGAGAGAACCCTAAAGATTCCACCAAAAAACTATTAGAACTGATAAATGAATGCAATTAAGTAGCAAGACACAAAATTTATGTTCAGAACTTGGTTGCATTTTTTATACACCAATAACGAACTATCAGGAAGAGAAATTAAGAAAACAATCCCATTTACAATTGCATACCAAAAAAAAAATACCTAAGAATAAATTTAACCAAGGAGGTAAAAGACCTGTACTTGGAAAACTATAAGACACTGAAGAAGATACAAATAAATGGAAGCATATACATGCTGATGGATAGGAGAATGAACATCATTAAAATGTTTATACTACCCAAAGCAATCTTATTAATTCAATGCAATTTCTATCAAAATACCAATAGCATTTTTCACAGAATTAGGACAAATAGAATTTACATGGAACCACAAAAGACCTTGAATAGGGCCGGCCGAGTGGTGCGATGGTTAAGAACTGGCTTGGGACGCCAGAGGGCCCCGGTTCGGATCCCACATATGAGGGCCAATGACACTGCCCTCCACAGCTAAGATGCTGAACAACAGCTCAACCTGGAGCTGGGCTGCTGTAAGTCACAGGCGATAGCGTAGGCTGCAGCCCCTGTGGCAGTGGGTTGCCATGGGCTACCTTATGTAGCCAGCAGCCAGCGTGAGTGGCTAGCAGCCGCAGTGAGCGGCCGTCCAGAAGCCGGCGACTGATCTGCCTTGCCTGGGAAGAGCACAATGATGGTGCCAATTTGGGCCAGTGAAGCAACGTCCTCCGCAACTAGACTGAAGAACAAAACGACAGCACCTTGTCTGTTCCCCTTCCCCCAATTCCCCAGCGCTGTTCCCATCCCCCCAATTCCCCAATTTTTTTTAAAAAAGACCTTGAATAGCCACAGAAATCTTAAGAAAGAACAAAGTTAGAGGTATCAAACTATACTGTAAAGCTACAGTAATCAAAACAGCATGGTATTGGCATAAAAACAGACACATTGGTCAATGGAACAGAATAGAGAGCCAGAAATCCACACCTATATGGTCATTTAATCTATAACAGGAGGCAATAATATGCAGTAGGGTAAAGACAGTTTATTCAGTAAATGGTGTTGGGAAAACTGGACAGACATGCAATGAAAAAAAAATGAAACCGGGCCTTCTTACACTATATACAAGAATAAAGAAACGGATTAAAGACTTTAAGACCTTTAAAACCATAAAACTCCTAAGAAGAAAACATAAGCAGTAAACTCTGACATTGCACTTAATATTTTTTCTGATCTCATCGGGCAAGGGAAACAAAAGCAAAAATGAGACTACATCAAATTAAAAAGTTTGCACAGCAAAGGACACCACCAACAAAACAAAAAGCACTGAATGGAAGAAGATATTAGCCAATGATACATCTAATAAGGGGTTAATATCCAAAATTTATAAAGAACTCATACAACACTGAAAAAAAAATCCAATTAAAAAATGGGCAGAGGATGTGAACAGACATTTCTCCAAAGAGGATATACAGATGGTTAATAGACATATGAAAATATGCTCGACATCACTCTCAGAAATGCAAAAAAAATACAATGTGAGATATCATTGCATACCTGTCAGAATAGTTATCAATAACTCAACAAATGGGGCTGGCTGAGTGACTCAGTTGGTTAAGAGCTTGCTCAAGTGTGCGAGCTCTGAGCAACAGTGTCACCGGTTCAATTCCCACATGGGCCAGCAGGATAGCTCAGCTGGTGAGAGCACATGCTCCTAACAACAAGGTTGCCTGTTAGAGATGGTGGGCTATACCTGCCCGCAACTAAAGACTGAACTTGGCACCTTGAACTGAGCTGCCGCCCAGATGGCTCAGTGGATAGAGTGTGAGCTCTTAACAACAAGGCTGCTGGTTCGACTCCCACATGGGATGGTGGCTATGCCCACCCACAACTAATTAAACACAGCACCTTGAGCTGAGCAGCGTGACTGGACTTGGAGCTGAGCTTGCTGTGCCCTCCACAACTAAGATTGAAGGACAACAACTTGGCTGTCCCCCTTCCCCAATTCCCCAACATTGTTCCCATTCCCCAATTTCCCAACACTTTCCCTCCCCCAATTCCCCAATAAAATCTTCAAAAAATAAAATAAAACAAGTGTTGGCCAGGATGTGGAGAAAAGGGAACACTTGTGCACTGGGGGGATTGTAAATTGGTACAACCACTATGGAAAACAATATGGAAGTTCCTCAAAAACTAAAAATAGAATTACCTATGACCCAGCAATTCCACCTGTAAGTATTTATTTGAAGAAATCCAAAATGCTAATTCAAGAAGATATGTACACCCCTATATTCATTGCAGCGCTATTCACAATAGCCAAGACATGGAAGCAACCAAAGTGTCCATCAATAGATGACTGAATAAAGAAGATGTGGTATATATGCAATGGAATATTACTCAGCCATAAAAAGAGTGAAATCTTACCATTTGTGACAACATGGATGGACCTAGAGGGTATTACACCAAGTGAAATAAGTCAGACTGAGAAAAACAAATACCATATGGTTTCACTTATATGTGGAACCTAAAGAACAAAATAAACAGAAACAGACTCATAGCTACAGAGAACAAACTGATGATTGCCAGAGGGGAGGGAGATTGGGGGGCTGGGTGAAAAAGGTGAAGGGATTAAGAAGTACAAATTGGTAGTTACAAGATAATCACAGAGATGTAAAGTACAGCATAGGGAATATAGTAATGTTGCAACAACTGTGTAGAGTGCCAGGTGGGTACTAGACTGATCAAGAGGTTACTGCGTAAATTATATAAATATTTAACCACTATGCTGTGCACCCAAAATTAATTATTGAATGTCAATTGTAACTGAAAAAAAAAATTGGCAAGGGCAGTATTGACCTGCTTCTTACTCTAATGCACAACTTGAAATCAATATTGGGCCAAAGACAGTGGAATACTGCATCTTTGTGCAAATGACCCAAATCAGAAAAACAAGAGGATTTTGTTTTTTCATTAACCAATGGGTATTCCACCACTTTAAATGATTGTAAGGTAGGTTTAATATGGGAAATGAAGAAATTTAATTGTTCCCTTTAAGAAATATATAAAATATAAGTAAGCCTATGTCAGGTGATGCTGTAATAAGCATGCCTTTCTTAAGTAGCATATTTCATCAGATACTCATGTTACGTACTCTGCAGGCTCACAGAGATGATGTCGTATATGGTGAGTCCTGATTCCCGCTGCAGAAGAAAGATGGCATGGGGCGGGGTGGCAGCATGCCTTTCTCTAGCCGTACCACGGAGGTCTACAGACAGGTCAGTGCAGGCTCCAGGCACCCTTTATTCCCTCTGAATTCCTTGCCTCATCTCTGGATTTGAGTTTTACTCCTCACCCTTTGCTGCTAAATTATTTGGTAATGAGATAATCCTCTTTATTTGCACATTTTTTCTAAGCAAATCATGATTACACAAGAGACCTTGAGGTGAGCCAGGGAAAGTTTCCCGGCTGTAAATTTGTGATCTGGGTAATTTGAGGCAGTCTACATCTGGCTGCAAAGCATGAAAAGTATCAGTGAAGAGCTTTGTCTGTACTTATTTGGCCTTTCTAGCAACACTTTGAACTCCCTGCTCATGGCACATTAGAATGTATTCCCTGAGACTGGCAACCCTGGGAGACTGTCACCAATATTGGTGACAAATGCTTTGAATTTGAGTTTATGAGTCAGAATCCCAAAACTAGCTGTATATTATTTCCAT